GCTTTTGAGCAACAAACAATTCAGCTGAGAGGCATCCAGTCTGGGGAAACAGGATCAGCTGAGGAATTGGCAAGGTGAGGTGGCTGTGGTTTGTTCTGCTTCTTTGATCTTCCAGCATTCAGCCCAATACCTGGCTCCAAGTTTGTTTTTATTAATAAGACCTTTTAAGATTTGTGCTACACAGTGCACCCCTTCTCAGTTCTGGAGCAGTTCCAGAAGAACGAAAAGAATGTCTTCACTTTTAGTGATTTGATCTTGCTGATCTGTCAAGGGGAAAATATAGAGACAAAAGAGGCCAAAACAAAAGTAAATATGTCCATACTTTAACCATCAGACCCTAAATACCTGAAGCCACACTCAGTGACATGTGATGTGCTTAGCACATATAATTAAAGTAGAAATCTTAATGATTCCTGGAGCCTGAACTTGAATGACCAGTTTCAGAAAAGACAAAGGAAACTGTAAATATTACTAATTAACAAGATAGGGAGATGTCCACTTCTTTTTTTTAATGATTTACTTTATTTACCCTAAATATCCAGTAACTTATTTTGTTGTATCCATGTAGAAATTCATTAGTGAACCACTTTACCTTCCTTTTATACCATTTTTAATTTCTTTCCAAAAATTTAAAACATTTTCTATGTTTGAAATACTTAGTTTTTTGTTCTTTGACAGTTCCATACATAGATATAATGAAATTCCATCTTTCCTATCCCCAATTATCCTGCCTCATTCATCCCACCTTACCCTCCTTCTTTCCATCACCAATCCCTGCTTCTCAACAAGTCCCCTTTCTACTTTTATCCTCTCATCCCCCTTCTCTCTCTCTCTCTCTCTCTCTCTCTCTCTCTCTCTCTCTCTCTCTCTCTCTCTCTCTCTGTGTGTGTGTGTGTGTGTGTGTGTGTGTAAAATCTACTGAATTTAAATTAGGCTATGTGTATGAGCATGGGTGGGAGATTATTTCCTGGAACACGGCCAACTTATCAGTGGTTACGTTACAACAGAAAGTGACACCCCTTCTGCCCAGGGCCACTGATTGTCAATAGCCATCCATGATGAAATGTTGACAGGCAGAATCTTTTGCAGAGCTTGTGTACTTTGCCACCCCAGCTGCAGTGAGTGTGTAAAACAGATCATGAAACAGTGTCTTCTGGACATAGCATGCCACTTCTTATTGGCCCAGATAAGAAACTATACAAATGGCTCACAGGCTAAGACTAAGCAACTTTTCTAAACCATCACAAAATGACCCCATTCCCTCTCAGGGCTCAGATTCTCTCTCTGAGAATGTTCCTACTGTTTTTCGGTCTCTATCACTGCACATGTATTTTATTTAAATTTTTATATCAATTATGGTCTGGTAACAACTTTAACACCCCTTCCTCATGCCTTCAGCTCATTGTTTCTGGCACGACAGACAATGTGGGTTGGTCAGAGTTGAAGGAGGTAGGCGATTGAAATGGGATATCTCAAAGGATTCAAGGGAGCTGGAATAATGAACCATTGAGGCAACAGGAATAGAGGATCAGAGATGATGGGAAGGAAGAGGCCTTACAGAAGCTAGTGAGGGAGATCTCACATTTCTCAAAGAGACAACTAAGGTTACAAGTTATCTTAGCAAAATCATGCCAGTAAGAAATGAAATAGTCAGATTTGATAAAACACATAGTTATCAGGGGTTTGGGGAGCCGACTGGGAGATTCTTATAGGAGAAGTAGGATGAAACAGAAAGAAAGAAAGACTTCAAAAGTTACCAGGAAAATAGGGCTGGAGAGATGGCTCAACAGTTGAGAGCACTGGCTGCACTTTCAGAGGACACAGGTTCAATTCCCAGCACCCACGTGGCAGCTCACAACTGTCTATAACTCCAGTTCCAGAGATCTGATGCCCTCTTTCTGGCCTTCATGGGTACCAGGTACACATGTTGCACAGATGCATATGTAGACAAAACAGTCATACATGTAACATTTAATTTCTTTAAGAAAAGAATTCTGTTCTACAGAGTCAGGTGTAATCCCCACATGGACTTAGAAAAAGAGCCAGGAAGAATTTTCCAGCTCAGAGGCAGTCCCAGGAGCTAGGACAACCCTTACAAAAAGCCAATAAGAAGAACTTTAGCCTAGAAAATCCTGGCTTGAATAGTCCCACCCAAACTCATACTGAAATAAAATTGTTAGTGTGTGAAATACAAAAAGAGTAAGAACTGAATCCAACTATGATGGTGTTTAGAGGTGGAGCCTTTGGGAGGCAATTAAGATTAAATGATGCTGTTAGGTTAGGACCTTAATTCAGTAAGAGTATGATTTTACAGAAAGAGAAAAGGAACCCAAGATATGGAGCTGTGTCTTGCTCTCTGATATTTACCAGGGACTTCAAAATCTACAGAACAGCACTGCCAGATAGTGCTGCTCAGTCTTGAACTTCCCAGCCCTCACAACCATGAATCAAACCTTTTGTTCTTTATACCTTTCTTAGTCTGTGTCATTAAGATCTAGTAACAGAAAACAGCCATAAATACCTTTCAAAAGAAGACCAGGACTCTATCCCAGCTTCAAAGCACATTCTTACCCAAAATCATAACAATCAGAATGTATCTGCAAGATGCTTTAGCAGACTATTATCCAGAGCTCAGGAGTTAGACTCACCCATGGTATGGGTTCCTTAATCAGTACAGCTAGACGTGAAGGCAGAGGTGTCCAATGTAGTTCAGAGCAAGAGGTTCAACTTTCTAATGGTACAACTGATCCTATCCAAGTCACTGGCACCAAAACTGTTAAAGGGAAAAAAATTCATTGTGCCTAATAAAGACATTATGGGAGACTATATTCAGTACTGAATTTTGTAAACAAATTTGAGTACCACTGCAGTAGAATCTTCCAGAGGGAAAGAGAAATGGAACTTATCTCTGACACGACAAATTTGAGTTCATAGCAAAAGGCTAGATGGGGAGAGTCAACGGTTGGAATATTAATAAGAAACAACAGGAGTAAGGGTGTTCTTGATAGACTGAACTTCCAGGACTCTTCCTTAAAGTAGGTCAGATTGACCAATTATCTAGTATATTTAGCATGAGGAATTTGGTCACATATCCAATGGTGTCAGAACCAAGTGGGGGTTTCACTAAATTGACAATAAGATTTAAGTTCAAATTGGATTCTGTACCAGCAGGTGGGGAAACCTATGGTTGGGTTTACATGTTGAGGGCTTGAAGAAGCCTGATTAAAGTCAGGTCAGAGGAGTGGGTCTTTGTTATATCCTTTCTTCTCAGTATTTGCTATTTATTGTATGCAGACAATATATATATATATATATATATATATATATATATTAATAAATACTTTTATTTTATAATTAATTTAATTTTACATATCAGCCATGGATTTCCCTGTCCTCCCTCCTCCCACCCCCCAGCCTTCCCCCCATCCACCCCCCATTCCCACCTCCTCCAAGGCAAGGTCTCCCCTGAGGATTCAGCCCATCCTGGTAGATTCAGTTGAGGCAGGTCCAGTCCCCTCCTCCCTTCACCAAGGCTGAGCAAAGTGTCTCAGCAAAGGCCCTAGGTTCTAAAAAGCCAGCTCATGCACCAAGGACAGGTCCCAGTCCCACTGCCTGGGGGCCTCCAATATATATTTTAAATATGTTTTAAATGACTTCAAGTGTTGCCAAGGAACAGAGGTGGCAGAAATGTACAGGTAGGACTATTTGCTTTGAGAGACAGTTTTTGGCCCTAGGATAATGTTTAGAGCAATTTCTGAAGGCATAGTTAAGGCTTCAGGGGGATCTTAAAAGGGCTTTTGGTCAGAAAATGTCATGAATGTTTTTAGAATTGAAAGGCTAACTCAAAAGCTTGGTGTTTGGTCGGTTGAATTTGCTGGGAAAAGGCTCTAGAGCAGTGGTTCTCTACCTTCCTAATGCTGTGACCCATTAACACAGTTCCTCATGCTGTGGTGACCCCCAACCATAAAATTATTTTCATTGTTATTCCATAACTTTAATTTTGCTACTTTCACGAATCATAATGGAAATATCTGTGTTTTCTAATAGTCTTAGGTGACCCTTGTGAAAGGGTCATTTGATACCAAAGGGGGGTCACAACTCACAGGTTAAGAACTGCTGATTTAGATGGATGACTGAACAAGCTTTGTTCTGGGAACAGGTCTTGATTTTAAGGATATTATACAAGTGATTGAAGAGGGTGAAAGGATTTCAAGATTTCTGTGCTGAGAGGGTGGACGAGAGATTGGAAAGCAGCAGGGAGGTCTGTCCAGGATCTAATTCAAAGGCTGAGGTGACAGTCACCCCAAGATGTGGTAATGACTTAAAATAGGATGGCAGTAGAAGAGATCAAATGAGTTTCTTAAAATATGTAGGCCAGCATCAGAGGACTAGAGCAAAGAGCGAGCCATCTCATCTGGACATAGAGATGCAACTAGGCTCCCGACTGGTCTAAGCAGTTGTTGGTGTGGCTATTCTCTGAGACACAGACAAAGACAGGAGGGACAGGGGACATACATTTATGTGGAGAGGGACATATGTGGAGAGGGCATATGGGAGAAGTACATATATTTATGTGGAGAGGGCATAGGGGAGAAGTCTCCCATCTTTCCAATTTAAGAAGTGAATTTTAAATGTTAGATAGTAAGAAAGATGTTTCACATAGCTTCACTGTGCACAGAGTGTAGAGAAGCCCCCAAATAGTAATGATTCTCATTCATGTACCACAAATGGGTATTTTCCTATTACATTTCTTTAAAACAAAGAAAGAAAAATCCAAGATGGCGACCAGAGAGGGCCGCAAAGCCACGGCTGCTGCAGTGACGAAAGCAGGGTGCATTGTGACTTATCTCACTGTGTCCTTTGTGACATGCCCAACCCTGGCGCTGCTACTGGGGTGCTGAGGGCCTGTCTGCCAGACAGATCTAGCTCCTGCTTGAGTGCGGAGTGCGGACAAGTGGCTGCGTCGGCCCAATTCTAACTTGGCCCTCAGCTTCCCAGTCATGGCAACCTCCACCACCTCACACCGGCCCATCAAGGGGATACTCAAAAACAAGAGTTCAACATCTTCAGTGGAGGATTCCACCCAACCATCGGGAAGACCTGGCGCTCAGGATTTGCAACGTAAGAAATCACAGAAGTGGGACGAATCCAACATACTAGCAACCCACTATCCATCCTACAAAGACTATGACTTAATGAAGACGAACGAGCCCGGCAATCCCTACGCCAGTGTGCCACATGACGGAGAAGACAACATGAGTGAAGTTCAAGGAAAGGAAGCCATGACCGCTGCTGATACCTTAGCGAAGAAGCTCGCAGCCAGTGACACCTTTGGGACCAGCTATCAGGGTGAGGAGCAAGAAAGCAGCAGTGCGCATAGCAGCAAATTCTTCCTGGACAAACAAGAGCGACAACGGCAATTTGAGTTGAAAAGAAAGTTACATTACAACGAAGGACTGAACATCAAATTGGCCAGACAACTCATATTAGAGGAGCTCCAGTCTGAAGTAGAAGAAGATGACATCCAACCACATCTCCATTCAAGTTTTTGAAGAAAAGACTACTACAGAAGAAGCTCCGACAATTTAACATCTAGAAATTCCATCATAAACGCATATAACATCTGCGGTTGCCGCTGTCATTGCCTATCCATCGCTGCTTCTTGCTTCTTAGAACCTATGCTCTTAGTGTGACACTGCTTGTCCATGTAACTGTTTAATTGTGTTTAATGGCCATGCAAGAATTAAATGGTAATGTTAGAAAACATTAAACTGACTGAAATGTCTGTCTGTTGTGGCTGTGCTTTATTTCCTGCGCCAAATTGTCATCGGCTTCCTTTTTTAAATTGAAAATTGTCTTGAGCTCATTTTAGATTGAGAATTAGTTGTGGGAAAGAATTCAGGGGGAAAAAACCTGTGTACCCCTTATGTACTTGGTAATATGCTGGACAAGTGGTAATGAATATATTACAAAAAGTAATAGTGCCCTTCTTATAGCCACATTGGTTCCCCATTTCTAGAAGTTTGTTTCATGACTGGTGCACAAGGTACTGGAGATATTCAATGGTACAAAGGCACATTTCTAACAAGTGAGCACATACTTACCAAGCAGAGACATTTGTCAGGGGTGGTTGCCAGGAATAGGGAGAGAAAATGGGAGAAGTGCAGACTCTCCTAGGGGTCTGGCGGGGAGGGAGCCTGCTTGTTTTTCAAATGGTGTCTATTAAAGCACTATGGTTGTTATTACATACCTATTTGAATGAGAAATGGTTTCCAGATGACTAGAGAATGAGCATCCATTTTCAGAAGAAGAATGCTGTCTTCAAAGTTCCTGTTGAGCTGAAGATGAAAACAAAGAAGGTTGGAAAAATGGTCCAGTGGTTAAGAGCACATATTGCTCTTGCAGAGAGCCCAAGTGGAGTTTCTAGCACCCACAATGGGTTGCACACAACTATCTGTAACTCCATTTCCAGAAGACTCAATGCTCGCTTCTGTCCTCATGCACACTCCCCCTGCTCAACACACATACACATAACTAAAAAGAAAATACAGGGCTTAAGACACATTCAGCCATTAATAGAATTTGCTGTCCTTGCAGAGGACCCAGGTTCAGTTCCAGGTGCCCACCGTAACTCTAGTTCCAGAGGATCCAATGCCATCTTCTGGCCTCAAAATTAACTGTATACATATGGTGCATAGACATACATGCAGACAAAACACCCATACACATAAAATAAGAGTAAATATTTAAAAAATGATAAAGACAGGGAGACCAATTTGAGGACATGTTTCTACTCCAAAGAAGAGGATGGTGCGGCTCCCACTGGGCTACAGTATAGGCAATACAAAGGTATAGGGGGAAACATTTGCTAATTTGCCCATAGGGGGAATGGCAGAGAGATAAGAATGCTGAACAGATTAACACAGGATGTCAACAGGATGTGTATACTTGAAAATTCCCTTTCCACAAGTTGATGCTTGCTTTCTTGCTTCCACAACACAGTACTACATCCATGATCAGAAAAATATGTGGGCATGGAAAGAGGAGAAAAGAATCTCTAAAATCAAAATTTGATGAGAAATACTATCATGCATTTCTTATAGACATCTTAAACAAATTAACACTACTATTTATAAAATCTGTAATGGGAAAGTTCAGTTCACACATGGATGGATGGAACATTCAATGTCAACATCCATTCTAGAATAGGCAAAAAGGCTGAGTTTCATGTAGTAGCCTACATGTGTAAGAGGCCTTCAAAGGGCTTCAGAATATAGGCTGCAAAGATCTGGTGGAAAGTGAAAAAAATGTGTGTGCTAGTGTGTGGTGTCTGTGTCTATATGTATGCATAGGAAAAGACACTTCAGGTATTTTTATCCACCAGCATAAACATGGTTCTCTAATACAATATTATACATTATTAGTGCCTTAAAAATATAAGAGTTGTTATCATTGTGTAGGCAGAGCATTTTTGCACTACTGAACCTGCCTATGCATACTGGGTACTAAACAGTTTATTCTTCCAAGGAACCAGCTTTCTTTCATCTTCCCCTCCACTGTTTTAAAGCAGACTCTTTAAAAGGTGCATATGAACTTGGTTTCCATAGCAATTGCAAGCATCAGTGATAACCAAGAGCTTCTAAGTTATAATATACAGTCTGCCCTACTAATGAATTTCAAACTGCATTTCCATGAGACAATGGCTCAGCCACTGATAGATAAGGTCAGACCCCATCTTCAAACTTTAAATTAAATCAGGATAGATCAAAATGCATCAGTGGGAGGAGTGTCCTTTTGGGAAAATGTTCTGTTAAAAAATACACTCTTTCTGGAGACAAGACGATCACTTTTGTGGTTTATAATACTCAGATGGAAAAATTCTAAAACATACACAAGTCTCTTCTGGGTTATTAATGTATGTCAGCATTTTCTTATGTTACTTATGACTGAGTTTCACCCTTAATAGCTCTGACTCTAAGAAAGCATACAATAACCATCGCCCCAAAGGCAGGTGTGATAGTTAATCTTAGCCAAGTCAGGAGGAATACAAGTTCAATAATAACATCACCTTATTTATAGTTTGTGCCTCCATTCAAGGAGTCTCAGTTGTCTGGTGTGCTCAGCCATTTCCACCCTGTGTAAGAGTGCTTACAGGAGTCCTGGAAGGATATTGCCCAAGGTCTTGAAAGGCCTTGCTTTGGAATTGTTTTTGAGGATAGTGTCCAGAAACAGAGTTTAACCAATTATGGATAGGTAGATCTGAAAAGATTGGCATTCCATATGCAAGTATGAAGCAAGAGAATGGTCTAACCCATATAGCACACAAAGACAATCAATGGGAGACACCATGTTTTTAAGCAAGAGTGGCCTGACCAGACTTCTCTTCCTGAGATCATCCTAATTGAAGCATGGCCGTGAACCAACCAATGTAAGGAAGACTAAGCTAGAGACAGTACACTGGGTTCCAGAAAGCTGAAGACTGTAATATTCAAGCACCAAATTCCTTATTTTGTACTCAACAAAGTAACAACTGGCACTACCTCAGCGCCAGACACACAGTGACCCCCTGACCAGCTGTATCTGCCTTACCCAGAAGCTGCTAAGAAGTCCAAATTCTCAGACCATATCCCAAGACCTCCTAACTCAGTGTGTCGGGGTCCTAAATCCAGCATTCTTAAACTTAATAAGCTTCCTAGGGGAGTCTCCCACGTAATCAAGTACTACAATATGATGTTTTATTTACCAAGCTCCATTAGGTGGGACAGATCTCAGTGATTCTCTCTATGTATGCTTTGTGAGTACAACTGTTTGCAAAAATACATTATGTTGAATTTAAGAACAGCACACAGATTTCTGAGTTTGATCTTTGAAACCCACATGGTCAGAGGAGAAAATCCAGTCCTGTGAGTTATGCTCTAACTTCCATATGTGTACCATGACATGTGGGAACACATGCACAGATACATATATGTTTAAATAAATAAACATCATTAAAATATTTAAAAAGACATTTCCATAAGTATGCAGTCAGATCTCAGCAATACTCATTCTGTCCCCATCCTTAAGAAAACATTTCTCTAGTTCTTCCCCTTGGTATGGTAAGTATTCTCCACAGAGTTACAGGGCTTCCCCACATCTCCTGCTTTACTAGGGCCACTCCATTTACTCAGAATATACACCTTCTTGTTTACACTGAGTATTTCATGCGTTCTTCTGCATTCAGTACAAACTCGACCTCAGACACCCAAGTTAGAATACCAAGTTCCTGTCCTGGGAGAGGCCAAAAAGTATAATGGGCAGTAAATGTTTTGACTCAAAGAATCTGAGTTGGAATCCAGTCTCTGCAACAGGTTAACTGAATCACTCAAGGAAAAGAAAGCACTTCACCAGTTGGACCTTGTTTCCTCACAGCTGCATGAGGATAACAAATTATAATGCCTTCTGTGGGTGGCTTTTGGAATGACTAAATGAAAAGGTGTTAGTAAAACACGTGACTTCTATAAATATTCAGTAGGTGGTAGATGTTATTGTTCTCCTCACATGTACACATTTCTGTTCATCTCTTAATCTGCTGATCATTTCCATTGACAGTGTTAGGCATTTCTAAAGGTACTTCTCTTTTCTCACTGGACAGAGAACCTTTCATATACAGGATCTGTGCCCACGGGTCTGAAGTCTCTAAGCACAGTCCATGTTGCAAAGTGAAGCTGAGAGGATGAGCTTGAGCGTGTCTCCCTCCTGTTAAATTGGATCCCACAATCAACTCGGGATTAGTCAAACACAATTTGGTCTCTGAGACTACTGAAGCTTCAGCATCATGAACTTTCATGGATACAGGTGAAGGCAAAGTGAAGAGTGGGTAGTCTCAAAAGGTAACAGTGCTTACTCAAAGCAGTGACAATTGCTTCACGTAATCTTCTCTTTGAGGATGTCCTTGATGTTTTTCATCATCCCTAAGCCTGAAAAGCAGAAGATAAAATGGGAGGACACTAAGCGGGACTTAGATGTAAAGCCAAACTACAGTTTAATTTTCAAACACATTGAAATTTCTAGGACACAGTCAAGTTTGGGAAAGAAAGGCATTAATTCTGTCTCATCCAAACCACAGGGAAGATTCACATCATCATTTACAGTAATGTATGGCACTTTATATTCACAGCACATTTCTAATTCTCACTTTTGCCTTCTGAACTTCTTTTACTAATTACTATTTGACTTCAACTGCAAGTTTTAGAAAGTGGAAGTAGAAAGGAACTTTTTGACCCTTTAGTCCAACTGCTTCAACTTATTGCCCAAGGTTCTCTGTCTTAGAAACAAGGGAAACCAAAATATCGCCCTGGGGTTAGAAAGCCCAGGGAACCTATGTTTGCCTATAGCCACATGCTACCTCCTTTGTATATATGGAACATATATTAACTATAAACCCAAATACAGTGCTTCTTGTTTGGAGACAATTCTTGTGCTTTGAACTCAGAAAAGCCTTCCAGTAGAGTATGTCCTCTTATAGAAAACCTGACCTCAGCCAGCACCAGACTCGACACAAACAGCCCAA